GTAAGATTAGATGTGGATGACAGATTTTTGAAAAGACATAGGATCATTAAAAGACTGAAAGCAGCTCTCTGTATGGCTGTCTTACTGCACTTTATTTTCTTTGGTTACAAATGAATTATTCTGATACAAAATATAAATTATTGGGGCGCCTGGGTGGCTCAGTGGGTTAAGCGTCCGACTTCGGCTCAGGTCATGATCTCGCGGTTCGTGAGTTCAAGCCAGATTCTGTGTCTCCCTCTCTCTGTCTGACCCTCCCCCATTCATACTCTCTCTCTGTCTCAAAAATAAAAATAAACATTGAAAAAAAAATTTTTTTTAATATAAATTACTTGAGTTCAGTATTTATTGTAGATAAATGTTTAAAGCCATAGCCCAAGAAGATTCTCGGTTTAGAATCTGATGCAGATTTTGGTAAATGATAGCTATTTAACCAGTATCAATCTGTTGTGACTTATACGTCTTGTAAAATCTGACAGGCGTATAAAATGTATAATGAATGATTAATTAGTAAATAATCATTTCATTGTCAGACTTCTCTTTCATTAGTGACACATTTGGATTAAAAAGATAAAGCAGTATAATGTTTAGATATTATGACACGTTAATGTAGTGGTATAAATCGAAACTTTTGAAAAGGAAACTTGTTTTTTTTTTTGGTTTTTTTTTTCAATTTTTTTTTTTTCAACGTTTATTTATTTTTGGGACAGAGAGAGACAGAGCATGAACGGGGGAGGGGCAGAGAGAGAGGGAGACACAGAATCGGAAACAGGCTCCAGGCTCTGAGCCATCAGCCCAGAGCCCGACGCGGGGCTCGAACTCACGGAGCGCGAGATCGTGACCTGGCTGAAGTCGGACGCTTAACCGACTGCGCCACCCAGGCACCCCGAAACTTGTTTTTGAAAGAAACTTTTGCTTTACTTAAACTTGACATCATTTTTTAAATTGTTGTCTTAAGAATAGAAATGCTAGATAGATCTCTGAATTTTAGAGGTAGTCTTTGTTTTGTTTTTAAAGTAAGCTACACTATGAATTATCTGGAGAAGTGATATTTTGGGGTGTCATGTATACATACATATATATATATATATACACACACACACACACACACACACACACACTCATATACATACACATACACACACACACACACACACATACATACACACAGAAATAGTGAATTGGCAGTAACAAATTAAAAATTGAAATACCTGAATTTTTTACATTTTGAGTGTACAGATGTGGTCCAGATCTGTATATGACTGTTCTTTTCACACTGTGATGTGCTTCTCACTTCTTTTTTAAGTTGCAAAGTAATACTTGTACATCCATAGTAACAGTATTTCAAGTACTCGGAAGGACCCTCAGAGCCTCTCATTCAAAGGCAAGCACTTCAGCAGCTCACAGCACAGTCTGCCACCTAAAACATGTCTTTCTTGTCTGAATAGCTCTGTTCTTAAAAATTTGCTCCATCCGTTATTATGACACTGCTTTGTTTTTGTTTTGTTTTTTTTTTTCAAGTTTTTATTAAAATGCTTTTGGGAATGGTCACATGGATACACGTGGTTGTATCTTACTGTACCCAACGGGAGTATATGTGCAATTTTATTATGATGAAATGGTGTTAGTGGCTGTGCCGGGCTGACTTAAAAGAGAAGGTAGTTAAGTTTGCAGTGTTGTAGAGCAATTCTTCAAAGAACAGTTAGGGTAACCTCTTAGCAAAGTGTGTTATAAATGAGCTTTCTAGTAGAAGGCAAATATCATGCCAGAGATAAAAGTCCCTTCTAGGTTTGGAGTTGGAAAACAAAACTCAAATGAAATTTAAAATAACTGGGGGGAAAGGTATTTCCTGACAGGTGTCAGATATTAACCTCACAGATCTCCATGTGCTGTTAGCAAAATGTAAGGAATTAACATCATTTAAAAAATATGCTGATTGTCAGCTTTTAAAGCAAATTTGGCCATACATACGAGGCACCAGGAAAAGTATGCTTAAAACAGACCAAGATGAGGGAAGCTGAAACCAGGATTTTTAAAAAATTAAATATTTGAAGATGATTTTGAACCCTATGTTTAGGTGAGCAATTGCAATTATGTCCATTTCATACCTGGAAAAAGCCCTCGCTTGAATGTATGTCTTTCCATTTTCTCTTAATATAAATCTTTGATATCCAAAAGAATTTATGGAGCATATACATTTCTAAATCAAGGGTAGAAAAGAGAATTAAACAAGTATCTTGGTTTAGGTTTTGTTTCCTTTTGCAATACTTACTAATCTTTGAAGTTTTCACCTTCCACTCACTGAAGAACAGTGGCCAACCCCTTGTCGACTAGAACTGGCCTAGTTAGGATATGGGAGATTCTTTACCCTCTTGGAATGAGATTTGCCTTATTTCCAAGACTAGCAAACTCCGTAAGTATTGCTCCCTTTACTTCTGCCAGTATTCTCCCAGTATTCTCCCTCTGTGCTTAAACTGTCTGGGTAGCGTTCTTCGGGGTTATAGATTTTAACTTTCTCTGGCAGTTGACCAGCACCTGAAGTATTTGCCTTTCTTAGAGCAGCTTGCGTTTGCTGGCTGCCTGGGTGGCTGTATTGACAAGAAAATGGGCAAATGGTCTCCTTTGAGACTAACCACTTTACTATGGTTATGTGAATGTGTCTCATATCCCCCTAACTTAAAAAGAAATCTAGGGGCGCCTGGGTGGCGCAGTCGGTTAAGCGTCCGACTTCAGCCAGGTCACGATCTCGCGATCCGTGAGTTCGAGCCCCGCGTCGGGCTCTGGGCTGATGGCTCAGAGCCTGGAGCCTGTTTCCGATTCTGTGTCTCCCTCTCTCTCTGCCCCTCCCCCGTTCATGCTCTGTCTCTCTCTGTCCCAAAAATAAAAAATAAAAACGTTGAAAAAAAAAAAAAAAAGAAATCTATACCTTATGTAAGCATATAAAGTATTAATAAATTGTTATTTTTCTCGGTGAAAATATTTAGTAAAATTATACACGTGTATTTAGTTTGTTAGATCTGGATATTCAACAAAATAACAAGTTGTTACCATTTTAATGTAAGATTGCAAACTCCTAAAAAATTGGAACTGGATTGTCACGATTTTCTTTATGCATCTCTGCTCAACATAGTACTTAGCATAAGTAATAAATATTTTCCATTAATGAACAGTATATATCAAAATCATTACCTTTTTATTAATAAAATGGGACATTGAAATTTAAGGGGAATAAAACTGGAAAAGATGAAGTGAAATCGGTTTTATGAAGCGCAAAGAATTTATTGCCTTACTCGGGTACTTTATTTCCTATGCTCAAGCCTCCTCCTTTTTTTAGGCTCCAGCCTTTTATTGTGGAAAATTTCAAAGATGTACAAAAATAAATATCCAGCTTCAACAGCTTTAAATTCTTGTTTCATCTGTACTCTTCCGTCCTTAGATAATTGTGAAGCAAATCCTAGACATTATGTGGTTTCATCCACGAATATTTCATTTTGTTTCTCTAAAAGATAATCAAGCCTTTGTTTTTAGACATGTTAAATAAAATACGTAGTATTCAGCCCGCATATTCTGAGTGCACAACACACTGAATAACGTGAGACCAGAATAGGTGCCTGGTGAGAAAGTGAAATCATTTTAATAACTATTGACACACTAAAGCTTAGCATTTGTGGGCTGATTTTTTTTTTTCGTCTTTTCAAAACCCAGGCTTACTCCATTCCCAGTTCTAACAGTTCTTCTTGTGGCTTCCAACCCGTTCCCTGCACCTCCACAAGGTGGCAGATGAAGGAAGAGAAAAGTGAAATTTAAGTGACTCTGACTTGAGTTTCACTTTTATTCATCAGTCAGATGGAGTTGCAGAACGTTTTGGAGCAGAAATATTTTTTCAGAAACAAGCAAGCAGACTTCTGAAACAATTCGCCATTTCCCCCTTGCTCTACAGAGACAAAATATTAGATATTTCAAAAGAGAGTTAAGTAATAATCTTTTATAAAATAGTTTCCACAGCATTATCACGGTCTTTTAATATTCTCTGTTAATGATTTGGGCTTTAATGAAAATACAGCATTTGAACTTGTGTCTGATTTTTGGAAGCTGCAGTTTTGGATAACTGTTGGTGAAATTTCTCATTGAGTGATGCAAATGTTGCCTTAGTTGATGTACTTAGCTGGACATTTGTTACCAGTGCAGTGGCATAACTACTGTGTTTATGTCCAGACAGCTCTCCCTTTCCTTAAAACCTCAGTTTCTACGTCAGTGTCATTGAGTGAATTATGTTCGTGCACACTTAGAAATAGGTGATGGTTACTGGTTAACTTCTATATGGCGAAGATGCTATTCTATTTGGGGTACGTTTGATGTTGAAACACTTGAGCACCAGCAAAGTGGCTTTTTAGTCCATGGGAATTGTAAATGAGCACCTGTAGAGTTGTCTGTAAACTAGGTATTTGTCTGAAAGTGGTGTTTGCATAATCTAATATGTGGGAGTTTTTCTGCTTCAGTATGCTATATATTCTTGTTCTTTTTTTGTTTCCCAAATAATATATTTTCTTGTGGAAATGCTGTTTTTCCAAGTAGTCTATTGTGAGACTCATTTTGTATATGTGGTTTGAGCTGTTTTAAGATATTGGGGGGAAATGGTGGGATAAATATGCAGAAATTGATTTTCCTTTTTTGCTTGAATTTTGACATCTGTTTTACATGCATGTTTTTCCTTCTGTTGCCACCATTAGCATCTCTGATCATCGAAGTTTTTATATCCCTGCAGCATGACATGTAGTTCTGATGAAACTGTTACCTTATATTTCTGTAGAGTTCTTTCTTTTTTTTTTAAGCATTTAATGCCTTTTATTCCTAAGCTTCATGCATGAATTATGTAGCATATGTGAAGAGGCTTAAACTGTTTCCATTACATTCTTTCTGGATGGCTCCTGTTATATTTAGGATATACTTATACTTTAGACAAAGTAAGAATGTTATTGTTGTTGACCTTGACACCAGATAACTGGGCAGACATTATATAGCTATGTTTGAATCTTCGCAAAATGTGCTGTTGAAGCCAACAGAGTCCTGGCGGGAGACTCTTCTGGACAGCAGAGTTATGGAGCTGTTTTTCACAGTAAGTCTTGCTTTTCATTTCTGGTGGTGAAGGCCAAGGAAGAGTGCCACTGAAAAGAGTACATGCTTCTGTGTTTGTCCTAAGTAAAACAGGACAGGTTGCTTTTCTCCTTTAAACCCTTCTCTCCTAATCGATACATCTGCTTAAATAGAAATTACAGAGAAATGTTCTTGGTAATTTATAAAAGTGTTATAGAAGTATGAATATCTTGGAGCTGATATTCTCAGACTTTTTGATCTCAGAAGACCTTTACATTCTTAAAAATTATTGAAGACCCCAAAGAGCTTTTGTTTATGGGGATATAACTGCTAATATTTACCACATTAAAATTTGAAACGAAAACTTTAAAAAATGATTTGTTGATTCATGTAAAAGTAGCAATGGGAGGGGCATGTGGCTGGCTCAGTCAGTGGAGCATGTGATTCTTGATCTCAGGATTGTGGGTTCAGGCCCCCTGTTGGGTGGGGAAATTACTTAAAATCTTAGAAAAAAAAATAGTACCCAAACCATTACATATTAACGTAAATAACATTTTAATGAACAGATAGCTGTATTTTTGGAAAAAGAAAAGTTTACTGAAGAGTGGCGTTCTTTTATATTTTTGTAAAACTCTAATGTCATGCTTAACTGAAGACTGATTCTCAGATCTGCTTCTACATCCAGCTGGTTGTAATATTACAGGTCAAGTAACCTGGAGGAAACTCCACTGTATACATGTGTGACAGTGTGTTAGTACCAGTGTGGAAACAGTTTTGCCCTTACACACAACCTGACGTGGTCTTAGCAATGTGTCAGGATCCCTGGACGACACTTGAAGAACTGCCGTAACAGAGTAGAGTGTACTTTATGTGCTCATTTATCAGTCGTGGGTCAAGGTAGAGTTTTTGAATAGCAATTTATTTCGATTATAACTTCACATGGTCTTGTTTATTATTTGCTAGAAAGAAGTAGGCTCGGGGCACCTGGGTGGCTCAGTCTTAAGCGGCCGACTTGGGCTCAGGTCACGATCTTGTGGTTCCTGAGTTCGAACCCTGCGTCGGGCTCTGTGCTGACAGCTTAGAGCCTGGAGCCTGCCTCGGATTCTGTGTCTCCCCCTTCCTCTGCCCTTCCCCTACTCATGCTCTGTCTCTATCAAAAATTTTTAAAAAGAAGTAGGCTGTACGTTCCCATGTTTGTTCATGAGGGTCCCCACTGTAATAGTCAAAGGCTGGTGAAAGAAATGTATGTGTGTGGAGGGGAGAGGGATGTTGATTTCCTGTAAGAGCCTAAGCACACAAGTTAGATGTAATGACTGGGGCAAAAGTCCAATAAAGACCAGTTAAGAAGAAAAAAATGGAAGCTGTTTTAATCCCAACCATTTTAGTTTCTCACCTTTTTATTCGTTTGAAAAATATTATTTACTATCCTTACAACTGCCTTCCCTTCTCGATTGAACCATGTAAAATATTGTAGTTCTATGGTACGTATTTTAAAATACCTAGAATAAGGTTGTTCGTCCATGGTTGTATACATAAAAATGCTTTCTTTTTTTTTTTTTTTCTTTTTTTTTTTTAATTTTTTTTTCGTACGCTTTTATTTATTCTTTGGGACGAGAGAGAGACAGGCGAACGGGGAGGGGCAGAGAGAGAGGGAGACACAGAATCGGAAACAGGCTCCAGGTCTGTTTTCAGTTGCCACAGAGCTGCCTGACGCGCTGGGCTCTAACTCATGGACCGGCTGCAGGATCGTGACCTGGCTGAAGTCGGACGCTTAACCGACTGCGCCACCCGGGCGCCCCTAAAAATGCTTTCTATAGAAATGCTGGGACTTCATTACCTTGCAGTATATTCTGTAAATCGGAGCAATGGTGGCCGAAAGCATATCAGTATCAAAGAGGCAGTTGTAACTAAATTAACAGGTTCTAGCGCCTGCCGTATCTGACAGAAATTGTTTCGATACGTATCCGAGTTCACTTCTTTGTGTTGTTCGTTTGACTGAAAGAAGAGCCCATTCCAGCAGTTTTTGAAAAGGTGCAAAACTTGCTGGCGGTACTGGAAACAGCTACCCCGAATCCGAGCAGCTGTCTAGACAAAGCAGACAGCTGTTCCTGTCAGCTGCGAACCACCACACGCAGATGGCTTCTCAGCCTGAAAGTTAACCCTTTTTGCATTGTCATTTTAGCAGTTTTGTGTCTGGGGCCTGGTACTTTCGTTTGAGGAGTTGATAAGCAACTTTAGTTTGTCAGTTGTTACAGAGATGACAGTGGGGCTAATCTTTTTATTTCGTTCGGGTTTTGTTAAACTTATTTTCAGTCGTGAGTTCGTTACCGAATAGAAAGCAGTGTTCCATTGGTTATCCTCGTTTCTCTAGATTTGAGTATATAGACATAAATACACTATTGAACGGAATGAAAACTTTAAATATGTTGGTCACATCTGAATCGAGAAACACTCGAGGTGACATTCTGCCCCTCAGAAGTTTACAGATGTCTCAGTTTTTCTTTCTTCCACGAGGTATTGGAAAAACCACTCTGGTTAGTTTTTCCTCCTACCTTCTTGGCTGATCCTTCTTGACCTCATTTATGCTCTCTGTTTTTCTCTGCTCATTGCCAAACTGCTAGTGTTCTGTCTCAGTTCTCAACCCTGCCGACTGCATACACTCTCCTCGGACTATCTCTTCCACACGTAGGACTTCAACTGCCACTTCTGCACCGATGACTCCTAAATCTATATTCAGCACAGGCTGCTCCAAAGTTCCAGAGCCTTATAATCCAAGTGCTTACTGGATGTTTTAATTTGGAAGGCCTACAAACATCTCAGATTCAGCATGTTCCAGTAGAATTTATCGTCTTACTGACTTGCTTCTGTTTATTCTTGTCTTGCTTCACCATTCACCTCTGTGGGTGTTCTGTTAGACTTTGCGTTTCCTTAGCCCTCTGCTTTCCCTACTCAGGTGATGAATTCAGTTTTTAATTTGTGTCACATGGTTCCGTTGCGGAAGAACTCCTTTGTAAGGCTGACATTGGAAGAAGGGCAGGAGTCTACTGTATTATGCAAGAACTAATCATTATGTATCATGAGTTTTATATGGTTCACATTTCAGAGAACATAAATTAAGTTTGAACAGTACATGCAGGCTCTGTGGTAGTTCTTTATTTTTATTTGATTGTATTACATCATCAGATTAGCCATTTCACTCATCATTTCTTTTGATTCCTCACTTCTGGACCAGTAATGAATAACCATTTGGCTCTCTATTGGTAGAAAAGAAACCCTCTATTGTCCCAGATTTCATTGTATCCATTGGTTGAATGTACCCCTGGATAACATGCTTAAATGTTGATTAGGTTAAACAGCATGATGAAATTGAGTTATACTTTTCAGATAAGGAACTTAAAAGTGAGTTGTGTTCAAAAGTTCATGAACTGGACAATGTAGATTATATGAATTTGCGCATTATACTTTTACTGTATAAAACTTAAAATGTAATAGAACATATTTTGGGAAACATTTGTGTTATTCTAGACCAGGGATTGGCAGACTTTTTCTGTAAAGGCCAGGTAGTAAACATTAGGCTTTGCTGGTCACCTGTTCTCTGAGGCAGCTGTTCAGCTCTGCCTTTGTAGTACAGAAGCCCTTTGTAGAGCAGAAGCAGCATAGCTGATACCTAAACAAACAAGCGGGGCAGTGTTCCTGCAAAACTTTTGTAACAGCCATCGAAATGTGGATTTTGTTGAATTGTCCTATGGCTTGAGATTTTGTTATTCTTTGGTTTTGTTTTTCCCAACCATATAAATATGTAGAAACCGTTCTACAGGCCATACAAACATGAGCAGGAGGCCAGATTCGGCCATCGGCTGTGGTTTTCCAGCCCCTGTTGGAGACCAAAGAGGGTGGTGTATTTCAAGCGTCTCAATTAACTTTGTAACTCTTTAGTATTTTAAATATCCTAGAGCCTTAAGAAGTTCAAGGTTTAAAGAGTAATGGAATCAATCAGTGAATAAGGGTTTATTACCTGTTTGCTGTGTACCTGGGTACCAAAAGTGTACCTGTGAATATTTATAGGAAATACTCTAACTGCAAGTAATTTATAAATGATTTCAGAGTTGAAGTGAACATAACTTGAAACAAATAGAGCACAGTGTTTAAAATTTTATGACATTCAGAAAGCAAAGAAATTTGTGTCAGAAAAGAAGGGCTGGAGAAGTCAAATGCTTGTGGAAAATAGAAGATGGTCGCCATCAACGTGGTTGGTGGATTAAGATAAAAAATACCTATAAGTTCTTTTTTTTTTTTTTCCGAGTTTATTTATTTTTGAGAGGGAGCGAGAGCACACACGAGCAAGGGAGGGGCGCAGAGAGGGAGAGAGAGAGAGAATCCCAAACGGGCTCCCTGCTGTCAGCATAGAGCCCCGACGCAGGGCTCAATCTCAGGAACTGAGATCATGACCAAGAGTCAACCACTCGGCCGACTGAGCCACCCGGATGCCCCTGTAATTTCTTCACTAAGTGTCTTTTCCTTAATTATGATTAAGTGTGTCAGATTTAAGCAATGAAACGTCTTTAAAATCTGAGACTATTAATAACCGTGTAAAATTAGGGAGCAGTAATTGATGTCCTTCAAACAGAATACTGTGTACGAGGTGTTTCACATCAGTGTTGCATCACTGATATAAAATCTAGATGAGGCTTAAAGTGGACTAAGTAAAATTAAAAAAACGTTTAGCCCTTACTCATAGCAGTGTGTACAGGATAAAATGAGATTCAGACAAATTGTGGCAATGTCAGAGTTAATGCAAGAGTGTGCTTATGTACTAGTTGAGTGAGTGAGTGTCTGGTGATGGAAAGGTAAATTGCTTTTCTAAGTGTACAACTGTTTACTTCTACTAAAGCAGCATCTATATACTCCTGATTGAACTTGTCTGCTAACTTTAGCAAGGAGCTGTAGCTAGGCATAGTTAGCATAATACAGATGACTGTCGTCGTTGCTGTTTTTAGAAGAAGGCAGTATGTCTGACTGGCTGGCATCTGTTTCTCTCTTTGTCATAACATCCTGGAGACAGTTCAATTTTCAAAATGTAGGTAGCCCTCAGTTAAAAATTACTCGATATGTTTAAAAAATCATGGCCTGTAATGTAAAGTGGACTGAGGGGCAATTTTCAAATTTAGTTAGGTTCAGGAATTAATTTTCTAGAAATAACTAGCTACAGTGAATTTTTCTCTTACCTCATTCGGCATGATAGACACGTGACCCTTACAAAAGAAGAATTTATTTTTATGGATTAGTAATTCTTTCTAACAGGTACATCGAAAAATCAGAGAAGATTCAGATATGGCACAAGATTCTCTTCAGTGCCTTGCCCAGTTAGCTTCTCTTCATGGACCCATCTTCCCCGATGAAGGCTCACAAGTTGATTATCTAGCACACTTCATTGAGGGATTACTGAATACTATCAATGGGTAGGTATACTTGCCCTTTATAACTGAAAAAAGAGCTTTCAGTTTTTTCTTTATGTTTAACAGTAGGGGAGAAAAAGAAACTAGTGATTTTCCCTGTTTCTATTTTAAAGTGTAGTTATGCGGGTAATTCGAAATTAATACACAGAGACATGCCTTGAAAAACAAATAGGTGAAAATATTTGCATGTTTGGAGATGAGTTTTTGGGACTTTTCTTCTGCCACTTAATAATACTCGTTACTTGATTTGTAGAATTGAAATAGAAGATTCAGAAGCTGTGGGAATCTCCAGCATTATCAGCAACCTGATAACTGTGTTCCCTCGAAATGTTTTAACTGCCATTCCAAATGAACTTTTCTCGTCCTTTGTTAACTGTCTCACACACCTCACTTGTTCTTTTGGGCGAAGTGCTGCATTGGAAGAAGTGGTGAGTGACTATTTTAAAATAAATTGTGTCTGTTTTTTACAAGGAAATTTGCAATGCCTCTGCAACATTTCTCGTGACAAGTAATTAAGCAAATGCTAGCTATTGTTAAAATTGCTTTTTTGTTTACGTGTGAAAATTATTTGGCAATCTGTGTTTAGAAATGTTACTTTAAAAATTTCTGTGGATTAAAATCACTTTTGTAGATTATGTTTATTGGTGTCAAGATTTTAACTTTGAGATAATTTAGTGTCTGAATATAGGAAATGGAATGAAACGTTTGTATTAAGGATTATGTTGAAACCCCATTTGAACAGTGAAAACTTTAAAGGGCGCTGCTAACATTGTAGTGTGGTTGTGATTATAATTTTATATTGTTTTGAGAATTTAAAAATTTTGGACTTACCTGGAAATTATGTAGACAAAATTTGGTTCACTTGATTGTAACCACGCTGGTTTTGATTAGGCTGTGTGCTCTTTTAATTTTTTTGGTTTAATAGTGTATCTTGGTGGCACTTAATTTTCATTAAATTAAGACCAGTAACAGTACGAAAGCTGTTTTTTGGTACAAGTTTTCAAATGTATATTTTCCAGATATAAAACTTAATTTAGGAAACATGTACTAAAACTCCTTGACGACACAGCTGTGTTTGTAAGTTACCGTGAATAACTACATTAATCATGGGAAATAATTTTTTCCTCCATAGTGGTTCTTAAATTGTTGAAACAAATTTTTCTTTTTATGAGTCAATATGTGAATTTCTTTCAAAGACTGTAAGAGTAAAGAGAGTATTTGTCAGTACCTGTTAGAATTGGTATTAGACACAAAATCCTGTGTTTTGTTGGGGGTGTGGCAACGTCCGTGCATTTTCATATCCCTTTAGAGGTGTTCAGAAGACAGAACTTGGGAATGATTTATGTACTTGGACACCTCAGCGGTTTGATGTGGAAAGGAACCAGGTCAGGCAGATATTTGTGTGTTTGAAAAAATGTAGTTAGTAGAGGAGTAGAAGTTTAAAGGCACTGTATGTGAGATTTGAATTTCTCAGGAGGAAAAATTACGTTCTATGCATGGAAATGTAGGTCAATTTTAAGTATTTCAGCTTTATCCAAAACGCTTTCAGGTTGTTACAGATTCTGAATCAACTCAGGTTTCATTTAACATGGTCTCATTGTGCTTTCTTCCCCTTGGTTTGTTTTCTCTTCTAAACCAGATAGATGAACCAGTATGTTGATCACATATTTAGAAACATAGCTATATTTTAGTTTCTGTTTGTGGGTTAAGGAAGTTTCTAAACATTTTATAGAAGAATTGCTAGAAGATATATATCACTCTTGTTTTGCAGATTTTAAGTTTAGAATTCATTTATTTTGACCAGGAGACTGACAACTTGGAAAACAATGTTTCTGTCAAGGTTGGTCGAGAAATTTTAGAAAGCAGCAAGTGTAGGTATTTGTTCAGAGTAGGTGTATTTGTGCTTGTTTCACAAGAAGGTGTGCTGCAGAAGTGTTCTTTTCATTCGTTTTATTAATTTCTTCTAATTGATCTGCTTGTGACATTTGAAAATGGTTTTAAAAGAATTGGTTACCTGTTTCAAAAGGCAGAGGGGGGAGATGGGTCCGAAGCTTGGTACTGCTCGGAGCAGCCGGGTAGGCGAGGTTCGGTGAAGCTGGGGGGCGGCTGAAGGGGAGGCCCCTGCACGATGAGTTGCCAGAAGACTCCTAAATGTCATCTCAGCCTCGTGCAGTTTTCACGTATCTTGTGTGTGCTGGGGGAGGGGAGGCTGGGGAATGTGCAGCTAATACCAAACTACGCGAACAAATCTCGCCAAACCAGAGTGGAAGTTCTGGGACGCGGGTCACATCATTTTTGTTTCCTTAGGTACCCGGTGATTGGAGTACTGGTCCCTAATACATAGTCGTTGACCTCAGGTGGAAAAATACATAAGTAAATGATCTTTTAAGTAAAACTAGAAAAACTGAGACAAAAAGAACTGCTTTGAGAGTCAGTGATTCAGAAAGAAAGGTCATGAGCTTTGAAAGGAGACTGTATAGTCATGAGCCAAGTAATTATAAACTACAGAATCTTGGGCGAATTACTTAACCTTTTTTGAGCATGTTGATATAGGTAGGATAATTATTTCTTCTAATGTTCTATGGGGTGGGTTAACAATATGACCGTTCCTGTACGGTATGCACATTAAAATGTGGAATAATAATGGTAAAAATGAACCTTCATAATAATAGCATTTATTGAGAACCTATATTGTGAACACTGTCTTACCAAGTAAGACAAGTTTTTGAGTTTTGTTGTTTTGTGCAGGCTGTAATAGTTTTAATATTACTTTTCTTCATAATTTTAATTTTGTGAAATGTTCTGCTTTTCTCTAATAGTGAAGGAGGTTTTTCCCCAGTAGGAAAACAGATTCAGCATATACACTTTTGTCTCATTGTGAGAACATTTTTTCAGAACTATACTTACTTAAGAATACATATAGATTGTCTCCTTTTTTTGAAATTTGTGTCTCTGGTGGTGATTATGTGGCCACAGCGAGAAAAAAATATATAGACGTGGGAGGAAAAATTCTTGATACTAATGTGCATTTCATGAAGTATGTCCTTACTTGGTGGCTTTAGCCTGTGGGTGAAGACAGTTATTTATGCTCCTCAACTGGCAAGTAAACCGAAAGTCTGTGCTCAAAAAGAGTAATTCCAGTCTTCAGCCAAGTTGTTCTGTTGGCCGTTAAAATTTCCTGGTGTTACTTGAGGCTTCCTGAGGCCAAGAATTTTTTCACTGCACCCTAGAAATCAAATTATTGTCTATTGCTGTACTGAAGAGGTGAGAAGGACTATAGACAGGGAACCGTTGCCTTTAAAGTTAAAATTCGAACACAGTAGTTGTTGATATCATATCGATTGTTTCATCAAATGTTAATACTACTGGTACATCCATTGGAATCAGTTCAGTGAAATCGAACTCTATGACTTGAACTCTGTACTCGGTTTATACTCGGTTGGTTTCTTTTGTCAGAGAAAATCTTAAGTTCAGCCTCCAGTAGGTTCATCACTGGAGCCGCAGAACTTGTTGAGTTAATTGAGCAGAGCTTCCAAGCACGATGCTTAAACTTGAAGTGCATGTGAAATGTATGTGTGTCTGGCTGTGCACAGGTGTGTGAGGGTGGGTATGTAAAGGAGGTGGTGGTAGGTAAACCTGGCAGAGAAAAACCTTTTGGTACATCTGTAGCCTAATCTCAAGACGTGTGGGACAAAGCAGTGAAGAAAAAGATACTTGTAGGAAGCTCAGTACAGAGTGTAATGTGGTAGAATTCAACATTCTTCATTCAAAATCTAGTTTCCCTGCCCAGTGGACAGTTACTTTGTGGGGAGGAGATGCAGTGAAAAGGGGTACATGGAAGCCACATTATAAGTTGGAAGCAGGAAGCATAAATTTGGGACTGTTTCTGTGAGAAGAGAGAAAGCTATTATTCACTTTTTGGGGAGGGGAGGAGGGCATGGTGAGGCCAGTACAATATTCGGACGTAGTCAGCTTCTCCCCTAACCTCGCAAGAGGATGGGGCCATTTGGAAAGCCATCCCAGCCCCCACACGGTGGTGGCCCTGATGGCCAGGAAAGAAGAAATGAATAAATTGGTGATAACTGTTGAGAGCAAGACAGCTGTCCAGCTCCTGTTATGCGCATTCATTTCATCTGCTTGAAATGGTTAAGAGAGGGAATTAGATGAGGTGCATTAAACCTTGCCCATTTAAAGGACAGTACACTTCTTTTTAATACTAACAGTAGCTTTCCCTCTGTTAGGACATTTGGAAGAAAATTGGCTACAATGACATCTTAAATAAAGATTCTTATTAAAACAAGTCTTTACAAAAGAATTTCGTTGTTGCATTTAATCCTGGTTGGATCCTAATTTTACCAATGCAGTGTTTCCTGACTTGTCTATGAGTCACCTCTGGTTTTCTCAATTTGCTATGCTAATCCTAGCACAGATCCAGTGTTTATATTTTACAGCATTCTTGCATTTGAGATAGACTATGTAGATTGTTGAGAATAAAGCTTACTTACTGTCATAACTATTACTCCATTTAGTATCCTTTGTATTGTTTAAAACAATAATACAGCATTAGGAGCATAAACAGATCTGATGTGCCAGGAGTTCAAAAATGAACGCTAGAGTGAGGTAGAAAAAAGGGATTGCCCTTCTACCCCTTGTAAGCCAGGCGAGTCCCTGAGATGTCGGCCTGCTAGGATTATTGCTGGATTAATTCAATTCCATACATACTTATTGAACACCTGCCATGTGCCAGTCACGGTGCTTGATGCATATACATTGTTTAGCATTAAAATTTGGAAATTCATATGCGTTTCCAAAAGGAAGAAAGTTTATTGATCGAGGAGTTTAATGTTCAAAAACTCTTTCTGCAAACTGCAGCTTGGACTCTTGGTGGTTTTGTGGGGGCAGACTTTTTTAAGTGATCTATCTATAGGATTCTTCTAACAGCTGCAGTACTTGCCCACTAAATCAATTCCTCTTGAGGGATTTTAGAAGCCAGGAATACTGTCAGCTGCATAGGTATTCTGAAGTTAAATTATTTCTGTGCCTTTAGGACTGGCTAGGAAAAAAAAAAAAAAAAGAATCAATTAATTCCTTTTGCAGTTAACATTCAAAGACTTCCTAATTTTTAATAGAATTCATGAAGCTTCATTTGTGACAATTCTGTGGGGTTTTTTTTCAATAATTGCCTTAAATACTAGTACCCCAGGAAAAGAATCTACTTCCAGCAGATGAGTAACAACATAAACTAATACAGCTCTTTCAGTCTTGAATCTTTCGTTATGTCCTTTCTTTTTAATGTTTTACCCTCTGCAGTGCATGTATTATTTGATCTGTCACTGAACCTGGGAGGTTGTACCAATGCCTGTATGTTTTAAACTTACTGTGAAATACTTCATATAAAGTAAAAAAAAAAATTCATATGTGTATAAAA